GGTGGGCTAGCTGGGCTTGCTTCGATGGGACGAAGAATGAGACGGCTCAAGGGAAGAACGAAGCGGTCCGAGTTGCAGGGATGAAGCGAGTTTCGAAGGCTTGAGGGACGTTGGTGGAAAGAAGCACGAAGATCCAGGCAGAGAAGGATGGAGGAACCATCTTCCTTGATGTTTCCATATTTCGAAATCGTCGCGGCAAAGGGTCAAGTCTTCGATCTATCTATTCGATGATATTCCATCCCGATTATTATTCCGCGAAAGTTGCGTCGCATGAATTATGTTGACCAAGCATTGCTCGTTAAATTTCGATCGAACCAGTCGAAACCGAGTTTCGAGAGTTTCTCGGTTCGCTTCGCGTATCGAGGTGACAACTGGTTTATAATTCCGTTATAATTATTCAACGGAAATTGGAGTTTATATCGGTGACGGTGGAAAACTATTGTACGTGAAATGGGGATATATAACAATATGGCCAGGAAATGTAAAAATTTCGGGAGGGAAAATATCCCGTGCCGAGTTAAAACGATACCATGTATCCGAATGGAATGCTAGACGGTTGGCTAGACGTAGCAATAAGAGCATCGGAATTTCAATATGAGCGTAATAAATCGGCGAACCCGAGCTGCTTATTTAAATGCTTATATCGTGTACCGCTGCCAGCGATAGATGATAGAAATTCCGATTGAAATTCCAGTTTCGGGATTCCCAGCTCGGCCACGACCATTCTCTCCGACGGCAAAAAAGAAACGGAATCGCGAGGCTGGAGACGATAACGATATCTTTTTTATATCTTGAGGAGCAACAGTGAAGTCTCACGTGGCCACGATTTAAATTATCCGGCAAAATTAGTCGATTAGTTCGGAACCGGCTAATAAGAAACGACAGATTCTTGTACAAAGAACTTGAACAACACTGTTTTCCTGTGCGTGTTCTCCTTAAGTGACGGTAGCGGGGTGAACATAGCGTGCGCTATAAAATAATTGAATTTCAGGCTCAAAGGACCGCGCGCTAACGACATTACCTTACACTCGGCGACGCAATTAAGGCGTATAAAGGGTCTCGTGCCTGCCTCCTCCTAAATTCGGTGGCCAACGAAATTTTTCTTCCCACGTATTGTCATATCTTTCTTTTCTTTTCTTTTCTCTTTTTTTTCCTTTTTTCTTTTTTTCCGATCGATAAAAGCCAACGGACGAAAATACATTTCTCGAAAAGAATCGTTAATTAGCTTTTCGAGAGATTTAAAGTAATCTAAATTAATTCACTTTGCGTTACGCGCGTTTAAAACTTTGTTACTCAAGAAATTGTGTAATTCCAATCCATTCGTCGGAGATAATCTGTTAAGGGATATAATTTAGAAGTTCTTAATCCCCTTTGCAATCGTTGGAAAGAAATTTAAGCGTTCAACGCGATGAACGGTGTTTGGGAAACGACGCGCGGTAAGTGGAAACAGTAAGCGTATAGTCAGCCACGATTCTTTCGGATACGAATCTTTACGTATCGCTTCTTCTAAGGCTTCGCAACATTGTCAAACGAGTCTTGGAAAGGTCGTTTCTAAAATATCTGTACTCGCGCAAAATACAAACGAATCTTCTCCTTTCTTTTACGCAGTGCGAAAAACGATTCAACCGTGACTTCAACATCTTCG